TCTCTTCTCTTCTCTTCTCTTCTCTTCTCTTCTCTTCTCTTCTCTTCCCTTCCCTTCCCTTCCCTTCCCTTCCCTTCCCTTCCCTTCCCTTCTCCTCTCCTCTCCTCTCCTCTTCCCTCTTCTCCTTTCCTCTCTCCCTTCCTCTTCCATAATTTAGGCAATCTGTTTTCAGGCCCCCAACCATTTTGTAATGTTTGAAACTATTTAGTTGCACTGGAAACAGAGTCCTATATGTGTGCATTAAGGGTTGTCATTCAAACTGCAGAAAAGAGAGAAGAGAAAAGAAGATGAGAAAAAGAAAAAGGCCTGGATAAAGGAAGAGCGCCAGAAAACTCTGGAGAGGCTCAAATCATTCAAGGAGGCAAGTATCACCATTTATCTTGTCCCTCAGCACCCTCGCAGAATATTTTGCTTTGGAAAACAGAAACAAGGACTGATTATTATTGATCCAGCCTGGTCAGCCACAAGGACAGCATCCATCATGAGATAACAACTCTGGATTTAGGAACCGCCAGGAGGGCACCAGGAGGTTTTTGCACAGAATTTAATCAGCGTCACCTTGACGCAACTCTGCTCCTGTGGTCTGGAAGAGAATGAAAGCATAATGGCCTGTACAGGAAGACGATGAAGCTCCAGTTTCTACAAAAACTGCTGCTTTATTATCACAGCGGTGGGGGGAAATGAGCTCTTTACTACTAGTTGTTGCAGGGTTACCGTCATGCCCTCTAGATATAAATCTGAGTAAGAGACTTGCTAGAACAGATTGAAGCTCCACTACTGTTATGTACACCAAGTCATAAACTAAAGGGACAGGCAGAGGTGGCACTCAGCAGGTTCTGACCAGTTATGGAGAACCAGTAGCGGAAATTTTGAGGAGTTCGAAGAACCGGCCAATCCCACCTCTGACTGGCCCCGCCAACCCCATCTCTTCTCTCCTCCCGAGTCCCAGCTGATCGGCTGGTCTTCTTTGGTTGCCCTGAACAGGAGAATGGAGCTGGAAAGCAGGTTAGTGGGGTGGGGAGGGAATGGGGATTTTGCAGTATCCTTCCCCTACCACGCCTACCCAGCCACGCCCACAGAACCGGTAGTAAAAAAAACATAAGTCCCACCACTGGAGATGAGGCTGGGTTGAAAGAGTCACAGAAGCCAGAGAGAACTCTCTCCAAGGTTAACACTCATCCAGCTTCACGTGTTGAAACAAACGACGCTGTTCAGCCTTTCACTGAGCTGGTTGGACATGTTATGGGAAGCCCACCATGACTCTTAGAACACTATGGGATACGGAAAACATGTCTATGGGTTTGTCTATTGAGATACTCCAGGTGATGGTTGTCCCATTGGTGCTTTTCCAAAAGGCAACTGGACTTTCTTTTGGGTTTTTTTTCTTTTTCTATATCTACTATGCATAATATATTGTTGTAACCATCCCCTTCTTAACTCCTTTCCCTCTATATTCATATGTTCATATATGTTTTATATATATATATATATCTTCTGTGTTCGTATGCTTAATTTCTAATTTCTGTTTTTCTTTTCCAACCATTGATAAAATAATCCCCGTATCACATAATATTCAGTTGGTTCTTTTTTTCTTTAATTGCCAACGTTAATCTATTCATTTCTGCACATTCTAATATTTTCCTGATCACATTCTCTTCTATCAGAATCTTTTCACGTTTTTTCCCTTGAAAACATTTCGCTTCTCACCCAAGTTGCTTCTTCAGTTCTTAAGTCTTCAGTTCATGAAGAATCCTCTTGGATGAGAAGCAAAATGTTTTCAAGGGGGGAAAAAAACCCAGATAGTCCAATTGCCTTTTTGAAAAGCACCTTTGGGATATCCAAGGGTTTGATGGCCACCGTGGATCAATTGCAGTCGGCTCTCACCTGCTGTTTTCAAAATGGATGCCTTCTCACCTTGCAGAAATGCCCTGCGCAGTTGGTGCTGAAGACCTCCCGCTCTCAGCCCATCAACTCCAAGCAGGCTGGACCACGACGACCTCCAGCGGTTCCCCCACAAGCTGGTCCACCAAGAAAAGGTCCAGCTGCCAAGCAATCCAGGAGTGTCCATCCAACACAAGTCAGGACTTCCAAAGCAGCATCTCGGAAGCCTCCCAGAGATGTTCCCGTCCAGATTTTTGTATCCCCGCAGGGGCCAGAACCTCCCAAGGAAGGTGTGGGGGCACCACTACCTGTGCCCCCACCTCCACCTCCTCTTCCACCACCCCCACCTCCGCCCCCACCCCCAAGCATCCAGACTGTTGGCCTAAAAAGCCCAGGAGCCCAAGAAAAACCACGGCCTCTTGTGTGTGAAGGCTCCGCTAAAGAATGTACTTCTTTGGAGAAAGCAGATGCTGAATCCAGAGGCCCAACCAAGAATTACACAGGTAAAGAGAGAGAGTGCTCTTTTTCTTACACACACACACATACACACACACACACACCATGCAGTCCTCAACGTATAACCACAACTGAGCCCCAACATTTATCGTTTTTAACTTGTTCTACCTCAGGAACCATGGATGAGGTCTTGGCTTCCCTCAAGCGCGGTGAAGTCCTCCTTCGCAAAGTAGACCTGACCCAACAGCAAAGTAGACCTGACCTCAACGACAGCATTCTCGCCGCCATTAGGCAGGGGGTAAAACTACGGAAGGTCAACCCAGAGCCCAAGGAAGGCGTTGCGAAAGGTTCGTGCAGTGAACTGGAGCAGAGCATCAAGGCAGCCATCCAGAGGATTAAGAAGGTCTCCGCTGACTCCGACGACGATGAAAACGGAGACTGCAGCGGTGAAGAGTGGAACAGTTAGCCGAGCCGTTGGCCGGTCCAGAGCTCCTCAGAAGCTCCCGAGGGATTCTTCGGTGAGAAGACAGCTAACCGTAAAGGAGTGCCAAAAAAACGGAAGAGCGGTCTGGAGCCCAGCAAGCTGGTGAACGTCCCGCACGAATCGGGCATCCCAGAATTCTTAGCAACACTCTGGAGTTTGGGGAGCCGCTGAAAGAAGTGTGGGAAATGCTCCTTGATCAATGCCAGAAGGTTCCAAGCAGACAAGTAAATGTAGGACGAGTCCTTTACTGACACCGAGTTTTATGCTTTGAAGTTTGCACATTTTCTTTCCTTCTCTCTCTCTCTCTTTTTTTTTGCAAGGGAATCGGCGCTCCTTTGGGCTCTGGGCTGCGAGGGGTTTGCAACTGGGCCGTGGAAATGGCCAGGTGTGTATCCTCATTTGCACAAGCAGTGGGTGAGTGTGTGTGCCACTCACCAAATGCAACCGTGTGCATACACACATGCTTGCACGAACCATGCCTTCCCTTCTCCCCCCCCTCCAGTCCACAATGCTGAACCATTGGGGAACCGTGGCCTAGGGGATTAGGGATCGTGACAATTTAATTTAAAAAACCCTCTTGATTCCACCCCAAAAGTACACTACTGTATGGAAACAACATGCTTTTGAGTAAGCCTGTTCCAAAACCATTATTAAAATTGTCCCAGGGGAATGAATTACTCCACGGAAATTGCTCCTCAGGCGCATGGGACAGAGATAAATTATCTCCACAGGACACATTTGGAAAATAAAAAAAACCTTTTTGAGTATTCTTAGATCAGTGAAAGGTGAGTACTTTGAATACCCTTTTCTATGAAACTATGGTTTAAATAGAAATGGTTTCATTACACACAGCCAAGACAGGGAGATCTGAGTTGGTAGTAATATATGTGGGAAGGATTGGGTGCCCTTGTCAACCACAGGAAAATATGAGCCAGCAGGATGATCATTATTAATTTTAACGACCCCATAATCCCTTGATGGGTGGAACCTAGGCAACTGAATGGAGCTAGCAGAGTGTTTACTGGCCGGATGCCCTTCCTGTCACCAATGCAGAGTTTTGTTCAGCAGGTATATTCTCAGTATGCCCAGAGAGAGAAATATCTGCCTCTACCTAGGATCTACATCCGTAAAAAGAAAAATACTGATTTGTCTCAGCACAAAGTTCAGATCATGAAAAAGAATAGATCAGAGGAGAGCTATCAAGAGGATGAATTCTCGGAGCCTCTTGGGCTGCTGAGAGCAAGGCATCCTGAGCTGGGTGATGCACCTGGATGTTACCATGCCAGGAACCCCTGCTGGAAGTGTCTACACATTAAACGTGACCTCCTCATTGAAGGAAAAGGGTCTTATTTGCATCAGGCTTATTGCATTTGCCAGATTCCATTTTCATTACCTTCACCGCCATCTCACTGACTAGGAATATTGGCTGAGATAAGAAATAATGTTATTATTTAATGTTTGCTTTGTCTGCCATGGCCAGAGTCTTAAACTGAACTTCAACTTCAGTCCATGTCAGAAGAGATGGTAGACCTCATCTCTTTTACCATGTGTCACATTTCTGTATATTTCTTGTGGCCCCGCCAGTGTGCCAAACATGAAATCTCTTTTATTTGGTTAAATATACTCTTGATCTGTGTCAGGATGTTCCTAACATGATTGAGTCAAGACTTTTCTTCAGGATCTGTTGTTTTCCATGTGTTTGCAATGCCAGTGTTACGTTGTACCAGAAGGCTTAAAACGGATTTTTAATCTTTTTAAAATTAGCAGTACAGTATTTCTAATGCATCCCGAAAGGCAGTGATTGTGAAACTAATCAACAGAGTGTTATAACACAGGTCTATTTGTATCCACCAAGTATTCTAATCTATAAGAGGGACTATGAATCTCTAGACCTTGAGATGGTTTTCAACTGTAGCTCTCATAATCTCTTTTGCTAAAAATGTGGAGACAGCAATACCGGGGAAAAAATTCTCTTTGACCACTTTCTAAAACAGACATGGGATTTAAAGTTAATTTTAAAGGATTTGTCTTGTAACAAATATTTAGCTTTCCAATTTAACTTGGATAGAAAATCCTTTCAGATCTTTACAAATGTAAACTTTTTCCCTGTTCATAATGTGAAGGATAATGTATTTGTTTGTAAATTTACAAAAAAATGTACACCAATAATCAATTGTAAGATGCAATATGGTTAAAACCTATTAATTGGATGGTCTTTCGCATTGTCAGTGATAAACTTTCATCTTTGAAGACCCTGGAATAATGTATTGTTATGTTATTCTCAGCATAATAGTTTTCAAATATGATGCTCAGATGAAGAACTACTCAAGAGTAAGCACTACCAAACATCTTGGAAATTGTTGGCAACTGTGCAGTCATTTTAGCACTTAGACTTATATATAGCTTCACAGGGCTTTACAGCCTTCTCTAAGCAGTTTACAGAGTCAGCCTATTGCCCCTAACAGTCTGGCTCCTCATTTTACCAACCTTGGAAGGATGGAAGGCTGAGCATTTTACTTGTTGCATGTACCATTCTCAACGTACATTATTCAACGTATGCTATTTTTCATGGTGGCTTACCTTCATTATCGGTCCAAGAATCGGTCCAAAGATTTGGGGGGGGGGGTTGGATTAGATGACCTACAAGGTCTCTTTCAACTCTGTTAATCTGTTTTAATCTGTTAAATCTGTTAAGGCAGCAGAGAAGGTTGCAAATGGTGATCACAGAAATCATAATTGGCAGATGGTTGTTGAGTGCTCAATGGCAATCCTGACTTCAGGGATGCTGCAACTTTCACAGGTTTACAGACCCATCGTAAGTTGCCCGGTGTACCTTCAAATGCTAACTGAATGAGTAGCCCTAACCTGAGGACCATAACCTGTAAGCAACAAGAACTAAATTGTTCTGTGGGGTTTACATACCTATTTTTCAATCAGGCCATGGGCACCTCTGATTTTAATTGTTAAAAAGACAGATCTGAAAGAACCCTGGAGTGATTATGTATATTTCATATATAATTACATACATACATACATACATACATACATATTCATCGATTTTCACGGGTCCAGGTATGTA